AGTTGGGTAAGTCAAGTCTACCCTTTGATACTTCAGGCAGGCATTCTCTGAAGAGAAAAGGCATGTGTAATTTTTTGAAATAAGTTAAAAATACAAGGTGGAGAATAGCTTCTGTGGGCAACTAAAAAGTGAGATGTGGAATATGTACATTGGGGCTCATGTACATAACTGGAAGGACACATAAGAAGCCAGCAACTGTGGGTGACTTTAGGGATAAAAATGGGAGAAGGGGATCAGGAGAAGTATGAAAAACTGAATTTTCTCTGTATACTTCTGTGTACTATTTGGATTTTTTCCATGTGTATGTTTTTAAAAAATGTTTGAATTTTTTTAATTCATTCAACAAACAACTGTGGAGTGTACAGTGAATGTCAAGCATTGCGAGAATGAGACAAAGCAAAACCAGGCAAGGCCAACTAATGCTTCCCTCTGGAACACACTGGCACTGGCAGGTTCTTAGGTCAGCCACATAACCAGTCATCCAAACTGAGACCCTTCAGAGGAAGGAGATGCCACTAATGGAACATCAAGACAGAAGTATAAAATGAGACTGTCCTGGGCAAACCAAGATTTGATTGGCCCAGATAGGATAATACCCACCCATAGTCAGAACACTGGGAGAAAGACAGGCATAAGAATTATGGGAGAAGATGAAAACTGAACAGGGCAGCTTCATGGAAGAGGACCTAAAGGGTAGGTGGGATTTAGATGATAGATTCAGGAGGGGATGATAGGCAGAGTTAAGGCTCCCAAGAAGATTCTACACCTAACCCCTAGGAGTATTATATAATGATAAATCATACCCATGAATGCATTACTTGTCTTAGCACATGATGCTATAACAAAATACTGTAGACTTGGTATCTTATACAACAGGTATTTATCTCACCAGTTTTGGAGGTTGCAAATCTGAGATCAGAGTGCTGGAGTGGTCAGGTTCTGGTGAGAACTCTCTTCTTGGTCTGTGGTTGGGTCCTTCTTTCTGTATCTTCACATGGTGAAGAAAGAGAGTTCATATGAATTTGGGTGGAGGGGCATAATTTTTCAGTCCATAGCATTCATTACTTTACATGGCAAAAGGAACTTTGCAGATATAACTAAAGTGACTAATCATTTGAACATTAAGATAGGGAGATTATCCTGGATTATCTGAGTGGGTCCAATGTAATCAGTCAAATCCTTTCAAGTAGAGGCAAAAGATGAAGGGAGAGGAGCTCAGAGATTTGAAACCTGAGAAGGGTCCCATATGTCATTGCTGGCTTTGCAGGTGGAGAAGCCACATGACCAAGAATGTGGGCAGCTTCCAGGAGCTGAGAGAGCATCTTTGGCTGATAACCAAAGAAGAAACAGGGGCCTCAGTCCTACAACCCCAAGGAACTAAATTAGGCCACAACCCAAATTAGCTTGGAGAAGATTCTTTCCCCAGATGAGAGCCCAGCCTGGCCAACACTTTTTGTTTTTGGGCTGTAACATGTGATCAAAACAGAGAACCCAGCTGAACTTATTCTGACTTATGACCTGCAGCAACTGGGAGAAAATGAACAGGTGCTGTTTTAAGGGACTAAATTTGTGGCCACAGCAAAAGAAAACTAACACAGAACATTTGAGTGAGGAGGAAAAATAAGAGCATTTATGGGGGGAGCTGTGGTCATGAATGCAAACATCTATGGGGCCCAGCAAAGTAGGCCCAGCTAGAGAAACAACAGTGCAAGCTCAGTGATGAAGGGCCTCCAAGACCCAGCCTGGCAGTCAAAGAGGCAGCATGGAAGGTGGGGTGGGCCTATCTGAAGAGCCCATCCCACTCCCTGTCCCCCGAGCTATATTTTGATTGGCAGGAATATAAAATCAGTGTGGCCCCAAAATCTAATGTTTTAAGAGAACCCAGAAATCCAATCGTCAGTTAAAAAGTCCTTATTCAAACTTTATACACTTTTCTAGGGAGACCAAGCAACACAGAAATGTGTGTTTTGGGCCATATGTGATCTTCTAGGGCATCAGCTGAGTGTAAGAGGCAAGGCAGAAGGTCTCCGAACAATGTGAAAGCCTACTGTGGCTTTTTCAGGAAATAATAAGGAGCCAGCGAGAGTCACCCCTTTCCTCTCACCCAGAATAAAAAAGGAAGTTACATACATGGAAAACCATTAACTATGCCAGGCCTGACCTTCCTGGCACTCCCCAAAAACTTGATGTCATAAGGGCCACTGGCCCCATTTCCAGGCAAGGCAGATGAGGAGTAGAGTGCTCCACAATTGTCTGTGGTTACATGGATGTAAAGTGCTGACACTGGGCTCAAAACTCCATTTCTGATTCCACAATCTGAGTACTTCCAACTGCTACACATGGTATTCCACATCAAGCTATTTGATCCTTTTCATTGAAAAGGGCTTTGCTGTCATGTTTCCCAAGGCCTAGCCTTTTGCCTCACTTAATCAACCAGCTCCCTCTCCTGATTCAAGGCTGCTGCTCTTCCTTCTCTCTAGTTCCTACTGTGGTGGCTGCTCATCCATCCCCATAGCACCTTCCTCAGTCTGTCTACAGCCTGGCCTTTCAGATGTCATTCCCACTGCTCACTTGTAGCTCAGTCTCTTGGCTTCCCAGTTCCAAATTCCTGAGACAGGAATCTAATTGGTTCAGATCATGTTTTTGTCCCAAGGCATAAAAGATGGTTGGTCAGCCTGTGGGGTAGACCTCTATTTGGTCAGATGCCAGATAAGACATGACCCTCTGTAACTCCTCTCTCTTTCCCATCCTCCTCTACTCTCTAATCCATCTGTAAGCAATTTATGTCTCAGGGCCAATCCCCAAAAACTACTCATGGTAGTAATACTAACAGGACCACTCAGGAAAGCTCTTCCTGGAAACAGTACCCAAACACCTACTGAGACTTGTTTGATGTTCGTAAATATGGCTTGAATGGAATGCTTGCACCAGGCAAGGTAAGAATCATGACAGCACCTGCAATCAGTCTAGAGCCTCTGAAACACCTACCACTGCCCTGCAGGGGCAATGGTAAAAACAGCATATGGGTCACCTACAGACTGACCCAGGTGAACAAAGGAACCAGGGAGTGCTCCACATCCCCACTCACCCTCAGCAATACTTCACCATGAAGCTGAGCAAAATGAACAAAAGATCTCTTGGTTTCCCACTGAGAGAAAGAGATTTTGTTAGCAATGAGCACTCACTCTGCCTCTTTCTGACATGGACAGCTTAGGGAGGCCTCTGCAGAACCGCCCAAATCAATAAGGGGTTGGAAAGGCAGACACATAATGAGGTCAGAGTATTCCTTGTGCTGAGAGGGTAGAATTTTAAATACTCTTTATAAGCCTACATTTTGAATGGAGGGCAGCAGCTTTTATTTAGCTTATATTGACACAATAAATTGCATATGTGTATATATGTATAATTGGCTATTTGATCTATATATAAACCTATGAATCCATCACCACAATCAAGATAATGAATCTATCCATCACTTCAAGATTCTTCATAGCCATTGTAAACACCCCTTCCCTCCCCGCTACCCATTTCTATGTCTTGGCAACCACTGATCTTTCTGTCATTAGGGTTTGCCTTTTCTAGTATGTTACATAAATAGAATCATATTGTACATACTTGGTTTTCTCTGACTTCATAATTATTTTGATAACTCAGTTGTGCTGTTGTGCATATATCAATAATTCATTCCTTTTTATTGCTGAATAGTATTCCATGGTCTAACATATCACAATTTGTTCATTATTCACCTGTTGATGGACATTTGGTTTATTCCCAGTTTGGCACTATGACAGCTATGAACATCCACATACAGATTTTTGTAGTTGTACATATGCTTTCTTTCCTCTTGGGGAAAATACTTAAGAATGGAATAACTGGATCATCAGGTAAGCATGTGCTTGAGTATGGTCAATTTAATAACATTTCCTTGTGGGTTTTAGAGTGTCCACACTGTGTATATTTAGCCTACCAAATAAAGGTACACATAGATCACACAGGAACACATGACATATATACTCACCAATAAGGAGGTTATATCAGGCAGCCAGCTTCATTCCAGTCCTCCCAATACATGAAAAGGGTTTCCAGAGGGGAGAATCTCCCAGGATGACCTTCAACTTTGTAAATGTTCACTGCACAAGATCCTGATACTTCAGAAATGGTTATATAATCTGTCTCCAGGCGATCCTTTAAAAAGGACAACATCTCACTGATCTAGAATAAGGCAGTTATTATTATCAATACTGAAAGCTGCAGCATGAACCAGAGCAGGTGTTCCTCAAGGATGCTCCCATCAACATCACCTGAGAACTTATTAGAAAGGCACATTCTCTCCAGCCCAGACCTTCAGAGTTAAATATCCAGTTGGGGCCCAGCACCCTGGGCTTTCACCAGCCCTGCAGTTGATCTGATGTATGCTCCAATTTAAGAAACAGTGGCCTAAAATACCTTTCAAGTCCTTCGACTCACTCAAAATTGAATCCATCAGAAGTCATGATACACTATCACTTATACTGCCTGTTCTACCCACATCACTCTGCAGTCCACTTTCTTTACAATTCTGCAAGCTTGTGCTAGTCTTCTCAGAGAACCAAGTTACCAACTGGAGTCCAAACTTACTCACTAATGGTCATCACTATTTCCCCAAAGCACCAAACTAAGAAAAACTAGGAATCAGGCGGGAACTGTCATTATACCATTTAAATCCAACTGTCAAAACCACCCATTTTTCTATATGTGGATTTCACCCTACTATATTTCAGTATAAATAAATATAAGAAAAGAAAAAGATTTTAGGTGATACACCACTCCAATACTCTTTACTGTTCTGTAACCATCGCTGCAAATGTACACACTAGCAGGAAAAATAATCAAACTTGAATAGGAAGAATTTGAGTAAAAATATGGGATACTTTTTGTTTTAATCTTCAGTTTAAGCATGATTTCTGCTCCACATTATAACCAAAGAGAGGTTCTCATCATTTCCTTGGTATTTTGCATGCTTAACATTTAGCCCAGTCTTTGAACAACCTCTCCAACTTCCGGCCAAGCAGAACTTTGCCGCTCACTTTGAACTTGCCGGCAAGAAAAGCCTTCTGAGGGTTTATTTTGCCCAAAACCAACTCCATAAAGACAGGTTCTGGGATTGTGAAAATAGTATCTGCTGGGATCTTGGCAGATCCTGGATACATGTCCCCTGACCCATTCTTCAGATCAATGGTCCACTGCAGAACGATCTTCCCATCTTTGGTGATGTCCAGCTGAAAGATGGCATTGACTTTCTTTACCAGCTGGGCCCCCACTTCTTTGACATAATATCTAATGTCCTCAAACACCTGGAAGCTCTGGAATTCTGAAAGCTCTAGAGGGTGTGGCATGGCAGGTTTCCAAGCTGAGCCCGTTTCCTTGCACTGACATGCCTTAGGTCCATCCCCTGCTTTGATCTTGGGTTGATGGTCAGTTCTCTTCCACATCTTACTGTACTGATCCTCTTGACCTTGCCATCTGGTTAGTAAGCCACTGTGGCCAGATTAATATCTGCAGGTCAGATTGTGACATCAAAGGTAAGGCCCAGACAGGGAATGAGGCTGGTGTATGTGCTGCGGTCTTATTGGCTAAACAGGTGCTAAAATGTGACATGGGGTGAGGCCTCAAAGAGGTAATTATGAGGCAGATCACACTCCCCCCAAAACCAATCAGGGCTATTGGTCTTATAAGCCCAGAAAGTTCTGGACTCCATGGTAGAAATAAAGGAAACTGGCTTGAGAAGGTCTTTTGGTGACATGAGCTCTGTCTTTCCAACGCAGGCATCTCCCAGTAGCCACCCTAAATGAGAGAGCAGTTATTGTGATTCCTTCAAAAGTAGACGATTCTTTCTCTTTCATTTTATTGATTGATTGATTGATTGTTGTTGTTGTTGTTGTTCAAGTAGAGTTGTCTCCATTTTTCCACCACTACTTTCCCCCCAACCCACCCACCCCCACCTATCACCCTCAATCCTTCCTGCTTTGGCTTTGTCCATGGGTCCTTTAGTTGCTCCTGAAATCCCTTCTCCCCCCACTATCCCCTCCCATCTCCCCCCACTATCCCCTCCCATCTCCCCTCTATCAGTTTGTTCTGAATTTCAGTGTCTCTGGTTATATTTTGCTTGCTTATCTGTTTTGTTGACTAGGTTCCACTTATAGATGAAATCATATAGTGTTTGTCTTTCATCACCTGGCTTATTTCACTTAGTATAATGATCTCCAGACCCATCCATGCTGTTGCAAAGGGTAGAAGCCCCTTCTTTCTTTCTGCTGCATAGTATTCCATTGTGTAAATGTACCATAGATTTTTGATCCATTCATTTACTGATGGGCACTTAGGTTGCTTCCAGCACTTGGCTATTGTAAACTGTGTTTGTGGACAAAAGTAGATAATTCTTAAGCAACAGATCATAGTGCTGGATTTGGCTTAATCTGATAGCTGGTGGAAGGGACATGTTTTTAGAGCCAAATAGCAGGTTGGAGAAGGAATCAGCGCAGACCTGCATCATTCAGAAACCTCCCAGCACAGTGAGAGGGAGGAAAAATTTTAAAAAGGCGTATCTCTAAGAAGAGAAGATTCTGCTGGTCTTACATGATAGTTGAAAATAATAATATAGTCCTTACTTTAACATTGTTCTAGGCACTATACATGTATTAATATTTTTAATCCTTATTACAGCACTTTGAGTTAGGTACTACTTTTTATCTTTATTTTACAAATAAGAAAACTAAGGCAAGGGGGGAGATGAAGTGATATGCTGAAAGTCACACAGCTAGTAGATAGGGTAGCAAGGTTTGAAAAAGAGGTGGAATGACTCTAGAACCCACTGTTAGTCTGCCTCATGCTTTCTAATGATTAGGGTGAAGTTTTCTGGAGGGAATATTACAGAATTTCTCTTGTACCTTTCTCAGTGCATTATATCAGGGGTATATGGTATCAGTATGCCCCATTGCTGGTTATGTTGACCTTAATCACTGCTAGGTTTCTCCACTGCAGTTACTATTTTTTCCTTTGTAATGAAGAAGTATCTTGTGGGGAGATACTTTGAGACTTTGCAAATATCCTGTTTCATGTTATATTTCAGTCCAGTCCTTTCTGCATCTACCAATGGTCCATTAGTGTGATATGTGCTAAGTGGTCATTTTCTATTCTGATCACTCCCTTCAGTTTTAAAAATTGAAATTCTGCTGTAGGGAAGAGCTGTCCCTTCTCCCTTGCTTCTTTATTTATTCGGTTATGTATTTATTTCAATATGAACTTGTGGATATTTATTTTATTCTGTAGGTCATAATATATTATTACCATTATTTATTTTCTTGCAAAGTGTCCCAGATTTGGTCATTGGGAGTTCCATAAAGCTGGTGCCTGCATCCATTCCCCATCATATTGCTTTTATATGTAAGGGAAGATACATTAAATGGAGCTGCTGCTAGCTTTGTTCTGTCTGGGAGGAATGCAAAAAATAAAAAAGCTTTGGCATGTTTTCTTTGGTACATGATGCATGAGGTGGTATTATCAACATGGAGCAGTTAAACAAGACTGACTGGTCTCCAAAACCAAGTCTACTCTGAAAACACCAGATATGAACAATGTCTGCATAGAAAATTTAAAATGAAGAGGCAAACAACTCCCTAGTAAATTCACTGTGAACAACCAACAGAGAACTGGTCCCCATCACCAACCATATCTGCTCCCCCACTCAAGGGAGGGGTCATACCTTCTGATTTATTCAGATAGGTCCCCAACTGGGCTGCCATTCCTACCTCAGCATATCAGAGGACAACACAGCTCCATGGTGAATACATGTTGCCTTTGTATTTCTATCTTTTATAATTAAATATTCCTTCCCTTAAAGGGATTCCCAATATGAATGGCTCCTGTGCACATTAGTCAATGGGGACATGCAAATTAAAGCTACATGAATCATCATGCACAAAATTTTTTGTAACTATGTATAGTAATGAATGTTATGTAGACTTATTATAATGATCATTTTATAACATATACAAATATCAAACCAATATGTGGTACACCTGAAAGTAATAATGTTATATGTCAATTACACCTCAATTTTTAAAAAATGATCAGCAAAGATATTGAATGATTTTCAGGTGAAGAGAAATATCACCAATTGGTTATCCCTATCTCTGTAGCAGGGGTGTCCAAGCTGCCGCCCATTGGGCTGTATGTGGTTCAGGGTGGCTGTCAATGTGGCCCAATGCAAAATCATAAATTTACTTAAAACATTATGAGATTTTTTTGTGATTACATGTCATAATCTATTTAATATGTAGCCCAAGACAACTCTTCTTCTACTGTGGCCCAGAGATGTCAAAAGGTTAGACACTCCTGCAAGTGTAGACTTTTCTCTCATGTCCCTGCAGGAAACCTGAGGAAGGGAGTTTTACACTCCCTTCCTGAACATTTCTTGAACTTCCCAAATCTGTCCTTCTCTAGCATCCTATCCTCTATTTCTATTAAAAATTCTATTTTCCTTTAAATCTCAATTTAAATTGTGTCAGCTTCTACCAGCCTCACCACCACCATGCAGTAGAATCTACACAAACATCTGGCTGGAAATGATTGCAACTTTGGGAGTCAGACACATGCTAAATTGGGGACCAGTGCACAAGTGCAACCCAAATCAAGCATGGAGCAGTTTCAGAAAACTCTTTACCAAGAGTATGCAGTCTGTGGGAATACCCAATAAACAGCATTTCTCTTTCCTACTTGAATTCTAAAGAAACTGAGAAATAGGACAAGGAATGGCAGATGGAAACCAAAATTTTGCCTTTATCACTGATAGAAGTACAGGTCAAAGAAAAGACTTATGTGAGACCCCAGTGTGCCTGCCAACTGAATCCCACAGTGAAAGGCAGAGTTCCCCACTTTCCTTTCAGCCATTCTCCAGGGAGGGCTCTGTATGTGAAGGTGGTCATGAGGGGCCCCCACAGGGAAAGTTCTGGACACGAAGAAGCTCATTTTATACTTCCAGTTTCATCACTCAAAAAAGTCACCTTACTTAAGTGAGTAAAGCAGTGAAGAGAGGCCAGGAGTGATTTGGGGAGAAATCACTTTGGAAGAAAATCCCTCCTTGAGAACATGCATGAAGGACCCATGGACAAAGACAATCAGACAGGGAGGATTGAATGTGGGAGGTGGGGGGGCGGTAAGGTGGGGGAGAGTATTGGGGGGGAATGAAGACAACTGTAATTCAACAATTAAAAAGCTAAATAAAAAAATTTAAATCCCTCCTTAAAGAAATCAGAGAATGGAGACAGGCCCTATCCTCTAGGAAATACTAGTTCTCAGTGGAGGGGTAGGGAAAAGTAAATTCAAGGGATCTTGGTCATAGAGCATTATTTTGCCTAATATTCTCTTTTTGTTCTTCAGTTTCTTTTTTTCCCTCTCAGGTTTTCTTGAGTTTTAATAACTCCAGTTGGGGGATCGCTGAGCTGCCCTCACTCCTCCCAAGCCTCTCTGCCCTGGTAGAAGAAATATTTCCCCTGTCAGTATAGGTAAATAAATACTCTGCTTTAATGGTGAGATTTGTGACATATAAACAAAGAGCATATTTACATTGTGGGTGTCAAAACAGGCTAGCTAGAGTTTTATAAAATAACCTAGACAACAATTACTCACTTTCCCCAGAGGATAAATAGTGAGAACCTGTCAAAATCAAGTGGTCGGCAAAAACTAGTTTAGACAGAAAAGATTCTGTAAGAAGTTTGAACATAAGTAATGAGACCAGCACTGTCTAAAAGAATTTTCTGAAGTAGTGAAAATGTTCTGTATCTGTGCTGTCCAAAGCAGTACAACTAGCCACCTGTGGCTATTGAGCACTTGACATATGGCTAGTATGACTGAGGAACTGAATTAATTTTTAAATATATTTTATTGATTATGCTATTGCAGTTGTCCTATTTTCCTGCTTTATTCCCCTCTGCCCTGCACCACCCAACCCTCCAGCATTTCCCCCGACCCTTAGTTCATGTCCATGGGTTGTACATGTAAGTTCTTTGGCTTTCTATTTCCTATACTATTCTTAACCTACCCATGTCTATTTTATGCCTACCAATTATGCTTATTAATCACTGTACCTTTTCCCCCATTCTCCACTCTCCCCCTACCCACCAATAACCCTCCATGTGATCTCCATTTCTGCGATTCTGTTCCTCTTCTGGTTGTTTGCTTAGTTCGTTTTTTTTTAGGTTCATTTGTTAATAGTTGTAAGTTTGTTATCATTTTACTGTTCATATTTTTATATTATTTTTCTTAGATAAGTTATTTTGACATTTCAGATTATAAAGGCTTGGTGATGGTGAACTACTTTAACCTGACCTTATTGGGGAAGCACTGTATCTGCCCTCCCATTCTAATGATAGCTTTGCTGGATAGAGTAATCTTGGATGAAGGTCCTTGCTTTTCATCACTTTGAATGCCTCTT